CACACAGGCTGATTGGGCAGCCCAGGCTCAGTCAGTTCTTGTCCTCCGTCCTCAGCATCCTCCCTGAGATGCATGGCTGCGTCATCCAATCCATCCCTCAAGGCTTCTGGGCTGGGAATCCCATGCAGCAGAGTGCTTGCTGGAGAGTCCTCTGCCTCTTCCATTTCCAGTGCCTGAGCACTGACCAGTACCAGTCCATCAGCTGGGCTCCTTGCAGGGATTTCTGCTGGGGAAAGCCCCTCACCAAGCACTGCAGCCCCAGCTCCCCCCTCCAGCCCTGGCTCTGCTCTATCAGCCTCCTCCAGCAGTTGCTCCTCTGGCCCCACGCTCTCTGCCTGCTCTGTACCCAGGTCATCAGCCACACTCAGGGGCTGCAGCTCAGTCTCAGTCCTTTCCATCTCTCCCCAGCAGTGCCCCGCTGCACCACTATCCTCTCCATCCACTTTTTCAGAGTTGGGAGCTTCTCTCACCTCCTGCACTGCTGCCATTTGCACCTCAACCCATCCTGGCACCTGAAGCACATCGGTGGCAAAGCTGCCTGCTGGGAGCTCCACCTCCCGAGCTTTGAGGACTGCCTCCAAATTTTCTCCTTCTCCTGGGAGCTGCACCTTTTCCCACTTCATCTTTTCCCATCCTTCTCCCTCCAACCCCACCTGTGCCTGCTCACCCATCTCTGTGCTCTCTCCCAGTGCCTCTTGTGGCCTCTCAACCTCTTTTAGCACCTGCTGCTCCCCACCAGAACCCCTTTCCTGCACAGACAACACCCTTTCCATCCGCTCCGGGCTCTGCCCTGCTCTCTCCACGCTGTCTCCCTGAACTGCCCCCTCCTCCTGAGCTCCTGCAGACGCACCAGCCTGTGTCCCGTCCCCAGCACGAAGCTCAGCTGCAGCTCGTCCCTCTCTCAGGTCTTCTTCCAACACCTTGTGACTGATGTGGGTCTCTCGTGGGGCTGAGCCGCTTGGTCCAGTTTGGGGCTCAGCATCATCGTGTGGGCAGTGAGCAGCATCTCCCAGTGGCTGCAGCTTCTGCCTGCTCAGAGCTGCTATTGCATCATTCATCTCTCTTAGCAAAGAGCCTTGGCCAGAAAACCGTTCCTCTTTCAGAAATTCGGGGAAGGGATCCTCTTCTACAGAGAGCAGCCGTGACGGGTTTGTGTCTGCTGCTGGCTTTTCCCACACCCTGGGAAGAGCAGAAAATGGGGTGAGCAGAAAATGGGGTGAGCACAACACTGGGACAGAACGCTGAAGAGGAAGGAATTTTTGGCCAGGGGAGGGTGGAGGATGCGAGTGCAGTTCTTGGGGCCCAGGACCCTTACACATGGTGGGTGCTCCTGTGCTTGGGCTCGCTGCCCTGGGAGCCCAACTTGACGTGCATCTCTGACAACTGCTGCCCTGGGCTCATCTGTGGCAAAGGGAGGAAAAGAGAAGAGAAAACAAAAAGCTTGGCAGAGTGTGTATCCATTTGAAATGGTGTTCAGCTTTCCAGCTTCAGTTTCCAGATATCCCCACCCAAAATGTGGGGGTAGCAGCCCTGTATGCTGCTGCTCACCCCTTCCCAAGCACCCAAACCCCTGTGTGACATCCCACCACATCCCCACTCTGCGCAACTGCTGTACCTGCAGGGATGGCAGTGTCTCGCTGGGCAGCTCTGCCTCCTCTTCATCCCTGTAAGCACAGAGCACGGGGTCACGATGGAAACTGCCTCCCTTCACCTCCTCCATCCCCTCCCCAGGGTCCTCTGCAGCCCTGGAAGCAGTGATGTGCTCTGTTCTGCTCGGGACTGGGACAGCAGAGCCCACCTGTGGCCTCTGCACCAGTGCTGGAAGGGCCCTGTCAGCAAAATGCTGATAACACAATGCTGATAATCCTGACTTCTCTTCCTAGTACCTTTTGTACCCAATCACACCACATCCCCACACTTTTCCCATCCCAAAGCAAAACGATGGCTGAGTCCCATCCAGCTTCCTCCCCATCCACTGCAACTCCCAGGAGGGAGCCAGGTATGAGCAGAAGCCACTCACCGTGGTTTCTCTGCCCGCTGCTGAGCCATGGCAGCCCTCAGGCACTCGTGGCTCTGCTGCAGCTGTGCATGGATGTGCTGCAGCTGCTCCTCCAGCGCCCGCTTGTTCTCCTCCAGCTGTCGGTTCTCAGCACTGGCAGCTCGCTGGGTGCTGCTGAGACTGCGGCACTGTGCTTCCAGCTGCAGGGAGACAGCAGGATCACCTCCTGCTCCAAGGCTGGGGCTGGATTTTCCCCAGGGTATTGGGTGGGAAACTCAGTTTGTGCGCCCCCAGGGAAGGGAAGCCCGTGGGGATGGAGGCAGAGCGTGAGCGATGGAGGTGCTATGCGATGAACTGCAGAGAGCATCCAGGTTCAGGTGTACAGCACCAGGCCAAAGCCATGAGCGCAACCTAAAGAACTGTACCACCAAGTGTCAGGGTTTGGGGTCAGCATTTGAGGTCAGCTCACCTCCTCCTGCGCTGCAAGCAAGCGTTGCACCTCCCTGCCTCTGGCATCCAGCGCTCGCTGCAGCACCGTGCAGTGCAGGCGGCTCCGGGCTGTGCTCTGCGGTGCCAATGGGAACATCAGCACCCAGATGGGTTTGGGGTGCTGGGTACCTTTGGGGGGATGGGGGAGGGTGGATGGATCCCTCACCTCCTGCTCTATTCGCTGCCTCTCCTCTTGGATCTGCTGCTCCAGGACTTCGCAGAGCTGCTGCACCTCCTGTTTGTGCTCAGCCACGCGTCTTGGGGGGGGGGGGGGAGGTCAGGAGGGTCAGAACTGTGCCGTGTGGATGTGGGGACACTGCATGGCCCACCAGACCCACAGAGAGCACGGAGGTTCCTTCCCCCAGCAGGGATGTGGCCGGCACTTTGGCCATGGGGTGAGTGACTGCAGATGGAGCCCAACCCCAAACATGGGCACAGCGTGAATCCTCTGCGCCCATATTTCTCCCTCCTTGGGTGCCCCTCCCTGGCAGGGACTCACTTGTTGAGGGCCTCCTCCAAGGCCTCCTTCTTGCTCCGGGCTTCTTGGATGCGGTGCCTCATCTTGGCCAGGAAATCCTCCAAGTTGCCCAGGAGTTGGGGCTCATCCTCCCTCAGTTTGGCCCAGAGCTGCCAGATCTCCTGCCTGCCGGGAGAGAGCAGCAGGGCAGCAAGAAAAGATGGATCATCTGGGGGTCCCTATCACTGGGGCTGCGTGGTCCTGGGGGTGGCCGTGCTCCTGTCCCTGGGACAAAGGACAAAGTCTCTGCCCACATGGGCACCAAACTGGGGAAAGCTCTGTCCTGTCCCATCCTGCGGGACACCCGGGGGTGCTTTGCTCACTCTTCCCATCTGTCATCCACTCCCAGTTGCTCCATGAAGGCTGCAAAGTGTTTCTTCTCCTCGCTGTCCGTCTCTTCCCACGTGGGGCTGGCGAGGACCAGGCAGCTCCTCCGTGATGCTGCTTTCCGCCGCCGATGCTCCCTGCTGATTTTTTGGGAACTCAGGAACCGCCCTGTAGAAACACAGCCCTCAGCACCCGGATCCCAGTGCTTCCCACCACAGTGATCCATGGGCTCAGAGCCACAGGTGCTTCAGGGCAGCTGAATGCCACCCAGAACACTGAGCATCCCCATTGGAAAGCTCTGGGTGCGTGGAGTCACTATGTTGGCACTTACGGAGCCCAGCAGTGAATTCCTCAACGCTCAGCTGCCCGGTGCCTGCAGCATCCAACCCATCAAAGAGCAGCTCCAGCTCCTCCGTGCTGCACGGGACAACCTCCTCCTCCTGCAGTTTCTAACAACAAACCACAGGACCATCAAACAGTTGTGTAGGAAGGAGCCCTACAACCCCCTGGCCCCATCCCTTACCTGCATATCTGCACGAGCGATGAACCCCTCCGTGTCCCCGCGTTGCTCCTGGATCACATCCTGGACTTTCTGCATCACAGCTGCTGCCCACGGTGGCTCTTCAGCCGCATCCCTGCGGAGCTGCCGCCGCCGGCTGGATCCCATGCGCCGACCCCTGGAGCCCACGCGCTGCTCAGCCATGGCTCACAGTGGGGTCCTGCAGAGGGGAACCCATTAAACGGCTCACAAGGGCCGCGAGTTTGGCAATAAGAGGCACTTCTCTCTGGTTGCACGCAGCCCAGCGCCCAAGTGGGGGATGTGGTTTCTGCCTGCTGTGCTCCCACCCATCCTCAGCGCGGGGTCGTGGGGGTGATGCAGGCTCCAAGCGGCTCCAGGAGCTCCTCAGCATCTCTGAATATTCCTCCCCCAGCTTCCGCAGCCCTGAGTCACCTCCTGTGACCTCGGGGAGGTTTTCCATTCACGCCCCTGCCTTCGCCCCCGGCTCAACCCTCTCATCCTCATTGCTCTGAAGCGTGCCCAAATTGGGACAAAGAGTGGGAGAGAGGGGAAACCCCCCACAGCCCCACCCCTCCTTTCGCAATGCTCAGCCCTAAGGTGTGCTGGCAATAAGGAATGGGCTCCAAAATGTCCCCATCCCCTTCCACTCCCGTGCAGCACCGTCCCACAGCATCACACAGACATGGGGGGGCCCTGTGAGGTCAGCAGAGCCCCAAGGAGGGAAGGGGGGAGGAGTCAGGATGTGGGTACCCCATTCTGTGGTCCCAGCCACTAAGAGAGCCAAAGCAGCAGCATTTTGGGGAGGGAATGGAGGGGAGGTTATGATGCAAGGAAATCCCCTCGGTGCCTCCCCCTGCCCCACAGAGCGAGCTGAGCCCATTGAGTGCCATGAAATGGAGGCACCGAACACGGAAAAGCTGTAAAATAAATACCAAAGGGACTGAAAAACCGGCGACTGTCTGAGATGCTTCCTGCTGAGGGGTGGCAGGAGGCAGGAGGGTCACCACTGCCAGAAGCCCCAGGGGTGCAGGGCCAGGCACCAACCCCGCGTCCCTAACACCCAAACCCTCCTTCTTTTCCCCACTTCTCCATTAGCACGAGCCACCCCTTGAGAGCAAGGCTCACCTCCTCCACGCGCCCTCAGTTTCGGGATGCCGCTGCCTGGCTGCACCGTGGGGCTCCCCAGGGCTGGGGGGACATCAGCCCCACACAGACTGCATTGCTGCTGCGCACCTCCCGGCCCCACACCATCATTCTCTCTCTTACTCAAGGCTGCCTTCCGCTTTGGGGTTGCACTCAACTGCCGGTACGCACACGTTTCCTGTTTGCAGCACCACAGAGGGTGCAGCCACGGACCCCAACCCACCCAAACCCTCAGGAGAAGCCCTCATTCCTGTCCTCACCGGCAGCAGCCAGATTCAAAAGGCTCCATCCCACAGCTGGACATCCCACACCCCAATCCATCACCCAGATATGTGACAGCTCCTTTCCCCACCACACCCATAGAAACCGCAGCTCTGTGGGTGCTGCACCCCTAAAGCAACCCCCAACCCACATACAACACCCCCTCCCCTCCCCTCCAACTCCCAGTACACTCCACAGCAGTTATTCCCATCAACAGCCACCCATTCCCTTCCATGAGACAAGTGTTTATTCAGTTACACTCACAGACAAACAGGTATTTCCCCTTCCAAGAAGCTTCAATAGCGTTTTCATAAATAAACATTTAGTGCTGGGCAGCTGCCAGCATCTCTGACAGCAAAGTGCATCACGGTACGAGCTGGGAGCAGCGCCCACCTCCTCTGCCTGGGATCACCCTGCACCCCTTCGAGTCCCAGCACAGAGGGGCAGGAGGGGAACCCAGTGAAAGTGCTGAGATGCAACAGCACCGAGAGCCTCGGAGCAGGGCTGCATCCTCCAGGACATCCCTGGGTCACAGAGACAACAGCAGCTGCTCTGCAGTGCCAGGCCAGGGTCCTCTTCCCCAGCTCCAAAGTAGGAAATAGTCCAGGAGAAGGCTGTCACTTCTTCCAGCTGCTGCTGAGCAGCTCTCCACCCCTCCAGCAGCCTGGCAGTGCCAAGCAGCAGCAGCTCTCCATCCAGCTTAGTGTCAGCATCGAACGAGGCGCAGCAAGCCAACAGCACGCCAGGAACAGCACCAGCCATGGGGCAGCAGAGCCTGGAGCAGCCCAGCACCTCCTGAGCAGCGCTGGCCCCACGGGGCACCTCCAGCACGTTTGTCACCACTCTGTGACAAATGCATCGCTGAGTCACTGGGAGCAGCTCCACGCAGGGCTCACACCCAGCTGTGATCCACACCAGTGAGACTGAGGGTTTTGGAGCTGCTCCATGCCAGGCAACAGGCAGTGCTGGGCACCAGGATGCCGCAAGGACCACGCCAACACAGGGCAGGGGACACTCAGCCCCGCTTGCTGCATTCCAGTCCTCCTCAGTCCTGGTCTCCAGCGTCAGCTCCTCCTATACATTGCACACAGTGTGGGCCCCTCAGGAGCCCAGAGCTACTCATAAATAGGGAACTACAGACTCAGCATCGCTTCATACAGACAGCTCAGACAGCACAGGGCAGGGAAGGAGCCACGACACCCCCAGGGCACGTCAGCATCCGCATCCATCCCCAGCAGCGGCAGTCACAGCTTGGGCTTGTCGTGGACAACTCTTCTCTTGGAGCTGTAGAAGTCTGCAGGGCACAAAGAGAAATTGGGAGGCATCAGGGAGCAGAAGGAGAAGGCTGTTCCCAGGGCAGCACCCCAACCAGGTGCACTCACACCTCCAAAGGCCCACATTCACAGAGCCCTGCATCACTCGCTCTCACCACATCTCCATTGCTGAGCCTGAGGACTTCTGGCCAAAGGAGCTGAAGGTGGTGAATTGTTCTGGGGTATTTTTATTGATGGGACATCCGAGCCCAGTCCTGCTGCCCACCCCTCAGCCAGTCTGCAGCCTTTCCCCTCAAAAGACGGGATGCACTGAGGCTGGTCCATGGCTGTGAGTGCACCCAGTCCCTCCCACAGCACCAGCGGTGGCACCCAGAGGGACATCACACCCCCACCACTCACCTTTGACGGTGGTCTGCCCACGTTTCAAGCGCTGTGGAGAACCGACCCTGGCGAGCTCCGAGCTCTGCTGGGCTGCCCCATGATGAGCCCCACTGACAGCATCCTTGGGGGGAACCCTGTGGGGTGCTGAGCTCCCATGATCGCCCCCGCTGGTGGCCTTGGCCAAGCTGAAGCCCCCCCGCGAGGGCTGCTCTGCCAGCAGGACCCTCTCCCATTTGAAATGCCCTTCCAGGGGTGTCTCCGTTTCGAAGTTGAAGTTCCAGCGCCGCTGAGCTTCTTCCAGCTGCTGCCTCAGCAGTTCCTCAAAGTCGTTCTGGATCTGCTCGTGGTCCACGGGGCCGAAGAGGTTCCTGCACACTTTGCTGCTGCACGGCATCGGCCCGGCTCTGCTCTGCGACAGCGGCATTGCGGCTGTGGGGAGGGGGGTGCAGGAGGGATGTGAGGCCAGGGCGGCGAATGGGGCAGAGCTGGGCACAGCATGGGACCTGCCAGCAATCCTGGGCTCACACTGAGGGGTGTGAATGGTCTCGGCCATAGGGCAGAGCAAAGCGGCACAGGGGCAGGTGAAGCAATGAGGATGTTGTTTTTCTGGTTGGTTTCTTCATCTGAAGAACCCAGCCCAGTGGCAAGCAAACTTTTCAAACAGGAGCAAGAACTCACCATAAGCCTGACAGCCCCACCGAGCACCTCCTGTCTGCAAGGAGCTGTTGGGTAACTGGGGGGGAAGGAGCCTGTTTGTTTTCTTTCAAATCAATGCCAACAGCTTTGACTTCCACAGGATGAGCTTGTGCTCCTTCCAGAGCAGAGAGACCCCCATAGGGTGAGCGGTTATCAGAGCAAAGCCGGGATGGGATGCTTTTGTACAGCATGGGGGGGAGGGAAAATCATCAAATCCGGGCAGAAATGCATTAATGGGACAAAACCACACGGATCCCTGCGCGCTGTGAGGCCGGTGCTGCTAAGTGACACAGCAGCTTTTGTCACCTCCCACCCAAAGCTGGGGTCACACAGGTGCGCAGCCCCCCCCCCCCCCCCCCAATCACCCCCTGTTGCTGTCGCTGCCCCTTTCCTCCCCCCCCCGCCCAGCACACCCGCACTCACCCCGCGCTCCGCGTCACTCTGCGGTTCCCGGAGCCGCACTCCGCCCTTTATAATGGGGCAGGGAGGGGCCTCACGGCGTCGCCCGGGATTTCCCCCCTCCCGCCCCCCCGCCC